CACAAAGCCTCCTGACCCTCCCTCAGGGGTCAGGACGGCGAAGTTTGGTTTAGGCAAATTTCCTGACTATAAAAAAAAAAAAAAAAAAAAAAAAAAAAAGGATCCCTAAATTACTATTCTTGTGCTCTGCCGCTGCGCTAACGGCACTGATTGAACATGTGTCTTTTTTTAGGTCTTATAACAAACAAAATTTTTTTTTAATATCAAGTATAAAAAGATATTACTTACAAGCGTATTGGATGAAAAGCTCGATCACGAATCAATTCATCGAACAAATTTATGCATTATGTAAACTGTAGAATTATTTAAACAGGTAATGAAAAGTTACATAAGTGGTCCCCGGCATCAATACAAAAGGCGGGATTATGTGCAGCCTACTTTTATAATTTTATAAGCAAAACGAAATTACATATTAGAAAAAACACCTTACCATGGGCTTCAAAGGATATTGAGATTCCAGAGCTTGTCGAAGATGAAACTGAAAAGATTACAGAAGAAAGCAGAACAAATGAAAATATACTAGAAAATGTTAATTCAGAAAATGAAGACTGCATTCGAATGGAAGTCAAAACGCATACTGATTTTGAAATAAATGTAGAAGAAGCAGAACATAATACAAATCAAGTGGTTACAACAAAAATGGCCCCTAAGAGACGTTATCCTTCCAGAAAAAAACTTTTCTGCAATTTCGGAGATGACTTCGCAGACGATGAGTGGTTTAATAATGAACATCTTCCACTATTTTTGGATAATTATTCGCAAAAAGAAGTAAAAGCGAACACGATAAAAAGCGAATAAAAAAACCGCAAAAAAAAGTCTGCTCCTAAAAAAATATATAATGAAAATGAATTGTCCGAAATTGAAAAATTAAAAAAAGAAAATTTGAGATTAAAAAAACTTCTTATGCAGAAGAAGAGAAAACAAAAAAATATAACTGCTATGTTGCAAAAACGTAATATTGCAATTCGGAAAAACAAGAACGTTTGCAAACACAGTGTTGATGAATGAAATTAGATGGAAAGAAATGTCAAAAATCAGTTGCGAGAACTATGATAAAACTTCAACTACATAAGGGTCGAAAAGAATACACAAAAGAAGAAAAAGATTTAGCAAAAACAATGTTTTATTATTCAGCAAGTGGATATTCACGGATGAGAAAAGCTGGACTAAATCTTTCATCGGAATCTTCTGTTAGAAATTGGATATCTGAAACAGAAATTCGACCAGGATTTTGCGAAGAAATATTTAATAAAATTCAAGAAAATTTGTCCAAACTACCACCTTCTCAAAGAATTGGCTGTTTAAAATTCGATGAGATGTCAATAAAAAAATTTGAAGAATACAGCCGAAAATATCATCGAGGGATTAATAGATCTCGGACCCCTAGGACGACACGATGAACCAGCAGGACATATTCTACTATTTTGCCTTGATAGTATTAATGCGGAAAATCCTTGGCGGCAAATAGTAGCATACTTTTTGACTGGAAAAAGTTCAACACATAAGGAGATTATTGAACTTACTGAGATATGTTTAAAGAAATTAAAAGATGTAGGAGCAAATGTACAGATAATCACATGTGACCAAGGTGGAGCAAACAGAAAAGCTTTTAATATTTGGCAAATTTTTCTACATAAACCGTCTTTTTTATTAAACAATGAAACTTATTTTGGTTCTTTTAATTGGCCTCATCTTATCAAGCGGTTGATTAGCCAGTTAAGATCTCATAAGTATATTTATGTGAATGGCGAAATTATTATGTCTTTTCATGACTTATTTGCAACATGGCAAATTGACAGAAAATTAAATACTTCAAATTTATTAAATCACATTACCTACGCGCACTTTTACCCAAACAATTTTGAAGTCATGAATGTGAAAAGAGCATTTCAAATGGTAAGTGCAAGATTTGCTGCAGCAATATCAATAGCAGGCCAAAGCAATATGTTAAAAAGTTCTTCATGGAAAGCATCTGCAGAATTTGTTTACAAAATGAATAAAGTAATAGATGCTATGAATGTATATCATTTAAATAATTGGATAGGAGTAAAGGGTCCGTTATCAGATGATAATTCAATGGTTGAAGAATTATTAACATCTTTCATTGAATGGTGTTCGAAGTGAAGTACTTCCTCCAACAAGATGTCGAGACCTCCGTGCTTTGATGGAATGATTACGACTGTGGAAGCAATTTTATCAATGTATCATTTCATCAAACAACACTATCCGGATTTCAAGCTGCACTATGCAACCAAGATTCTGTAGAACATACATTTGGAAAAATTAGAGGACGCGGAGGATTCAACCGTAATCCAACTGCCAGAATGATACGGTTAACGTTGCGACACATTTTATCAAGTGGATATATTTATGGAAGCGATATATATTATATATTATATATTTCAGAAAATATTATACAAAAATAACATCAAAATATATGTATATATTATATTTCATCAATATCTATTATATGTATATTATATATAATCAATATATATTATAATTCAATCAACAATTTAATTGCAATGTACGTGCAAATGCAACATGCCTTATATATACGTAGAACATTGTATTAATGTTATATATATATATATATATATATATATATTACTTTTATTTTGTGTTTGATGGGACATATGAGATTTGTAATGTATATATATATAAATGTATATATAATGTAATGTATATATAATAAATGTTGTAGCCAGATTACAAAATTCGTCGTTTTATAAAACGTTTAGCCATTTTATTAAGTGCAGCCACATACATTCTTAAATTATGATTAAAAATGAAATATTTTATAATCTGGCTAAGAATTTTAGTCTTTATATATGAAAAGAAACTCATCGCCACATTGTCAAATTCAATGATTTGTACGTCATTTTAAATTCTGGCTGGTTCACTTCAGTCATTTAATATGAACGACGCGTTTTATCCCTATTAATTTTTATAAACAAAAGACTCATGTTACTTATCATAAAATCTCAATTGTAATAAATCTGTTAATAAAAAGCACTATAATTTATAAAATTTATAAAAATACTAAAATTTTTATAAAAATACTAAAAATAACATCAATTATGCCGTTCATTAAATGACTAAAGTGAATTAGCCATCAGAATCTAAAATAAATGTACAAACAATCGTTGCGTTTGACAATGCAGCGAGTCCTTTTATAAAAAGACTAAAATTCTTAGCCAGATTAAAAACATTTCATTTTCAATATATCATAATTTGAGAATGTGGCCGCATTTAATAAAATATCTAGATATTTTATAAAACGACGAATTTTGTAATCTGGTTACGATATACTTATATATGATATACTATAGTATATATATATATATATTCTTCACACACACACACACACACACACGCGCGCGCGCGCGCGCGCGTAAATACGAATATATATATAATATTAATTAATTACTACTTACTCAACTTTTAATCTGCTACTTCTGCTAGCCTTGATCTTTCCTGTTTTATAGCCTCGGATAAACTGCCAAGCGGAGTGCTATACACTTTTATATAATATATATATTGGACACGAGTTTCGTTTGTTTCAGATTCTCGAGAGTTGAAGTAGGAACATACGAGTATCATATATCGTTTGTGACTTGCCGAATGAAAACAAGACAGAGAGCGAACGAGATGATGAGCTTAATAACTCATAATGTTATAAATAAATAAATAAAAAATTATAACCTGACCTACTAGTTATTGAATCTTTTTTTAATAAAATGTTTCATTATTATTATTATCTAAATCTAAGTCATTTAATTACTTTTTAGTTTTTTAATAATTAATTTAATTTATTCTAGTCATTTTTATATGAAAAAAAATAATATCACGTATACGTTTTATAATGAATTAATATATTTCGGGAGCCGAATTATATATTCTTAATAATATAAGTGTTCAAAAATTATATTTGACTTTTGACTTTTAATTTTAATTATTTTAGCAAAGAGTTCTGAAATCTCTTACACACATAATGGGGATTTTTTTCATCCATATAATTCGCAATTAAGTATATATGTTAATTATTAATTTTAATAAAATAAAAATTAAAATTAAAGGTCAAATATAATTTTTGAACACAAATATGTTAATTCATTATAAAACGTATACCCATGATAGTATTTTTCTCGTACAAAAATAATTAGATGAAATTAAATTAATCATAAAAAAATAAAAATTAATTAAAGAATTTAAACTTATATTTTATATGATAATAATAAAACATTATTAAAAAACAGATTCAATAAATATAAGTACATGTTATATATATATACTTATATTTATTGAATCTGTTTTTTTTATAAAATGTTATATTATTATCATATAAAATATAAATTATTTAATTAATTTTTTATTTTTTTATGAGTAATTTAATTTATTCTAGTTATTTTTGTACGTGAAAAATACTATCACGGGTATATACGTTTTATAATGAATTAATATATTTATGTTCAAAAATTATATTTGACCTTTAATTTTAATTTTTATTTTATTAAAATTAATAATTAACATATATACTTAATTGCGAATTATATGGATGAAAAAAATCCCATTATGTGTGTAAGAGATTTCGGAACTCTTTGCTAAAATAATTAAAATTAAAAGTCAAATATAATTTTATAAAACGTATAATAGTATTTTTCGCATATTAAAATGATTAGAATAAATTAAATTAATTATTAAAAAACTAAAAATTAATTAAACGACTTAGACTTAGATAATAATATTAATGAAACATTTATTAATAAAAGATTTAATAACTATAATAGGTCAGGTTAATTTTTTATTTATTTATAACATCATAAAATTCTGTCCTTTCCGAAATACGCGAATGCTACGAAAAGATAAAATCTCGTACATGCCGCCGGACGAGTTCATGAGCATGAGACGCTCTTATCTTGGAAACGTATTAATAGTTACTGCATTGACCACTACTACGATATGGCGCTGAAATCAGTGAGAAATGCTGGTCTCTCCTTCATCCAGACCTTTGGTGATCTGTCTATTAATCTGTGATTTTAGAACATGGCTGATATTACAATTAACCTCAATACTTCAATCACGATATTAATCATATTTAAATAAAATAAGAACAAGCAGACTTAATTGTATTTGGAATTGGTTAAAAAAGAACTTAGAATTGTGAAGCTAACATATAACTTTACGGTAAAAAGAGGAAGAATCTAGCATAAATAAAAGAAAAAGTTTAGAATGTATGCGAGATAAATTCTCAAAGTTGGAAGCACAAAAGAAAAAAATTTATCCGGTGTCATTAAAATCAAGAAAAATCTTATCAAATTTTTAACATGGGTAAAAATAAGCAAGCACAACGAACCAAAAATAATGCACGGGTAAATATAAATTATATATAGAGAAATTGTGTAAAAAAAAAAAAATGTATGAATTGTACATGATTGTATAAGGAGTGATTGTGATATATAACTTAGACATTTAAAGGCACGTTCTATTTAACGCTCGCGGCGTTATCTGCCTTTGTTTTACTTCAGACAAACAACAAGGATGAAATGATTCTGTGAGCGTTGCGAACGTTAAGTGGAACGCGCCTTAATTATTCATTATTGATATATGTATGTTATTACGATATATGACATGTCATGATTAAAACTGTTATATATTACATAAACAAATTATTTTATGACTATTTATATTTTTACATTAATGATATTTTTTATTTTTTTATTTATAAATATGTATAAATCTAAAATCTCATGAAAGACTTCAAGAAAATTATTTTCTAGCCATCAAATAGTAGTCGCAGTGCAGAACTTTTGGGAACAACGGTACCCAATTTTGTTGGTTTCTCAGCTGTTAAAGATGGAGGATATGTTCCTGTTTTACCTGGTCTAGCTTTATGTTCCTCAAATGAAGTAGAAATGAACAGTGTGGATTCTAATTTCCAAATAATACTAAAAAAAATGAATAAAAAAGATGCTACGACAAAGTATAAGGTAATTATTTTGTTTTATTATAATTGATTAACTTACATAAAAAGTTTGTAAACTGATATAAGTATGTTATGTACAGGCATTGCAAGAATTTGCAACCTTATGTCAAAATGCTGAATTATCAACAATAGAAATTATATTGTCCTTTGGCCACGACTATATTGTACTTTATCCATCGATATAGATCATAGAGTAAGAGAAGCTGCACAATTGGCACATGCAATGGTTGTCAAACGTACAGGCAAAGGCATAGCACCATATTTAAAACAATTGATTGGTCCTTGGTTTATTTCTCAATATGACACGTATCCTCCAGCAGCTTCCACTGCTATTAATTCTTTCAACAATACTTTTCCATCAAAAAGATAATTGATGCAATTGTTCATTACCAGTGTGAAATTTTAACATACATTGATAACAATATCACTGTACAAACAGCTCAAACATTATCGATGCAAAAATCTCTTACTAAAGAGGAAATTGAAGCCAAATATCAGAGAATATTGGTGGCGAATTTGCAAGGTTATAACTATTATTTTAAAAAGTGTCATTTGATAAGATGGACAAGGCTTTAGAGATACATAACAAAATTTTAAGCAACTTAAAATTCTGGAAATTGGCTAAACATGATGCTCTTCCAATAAAAATAGCTTTCTTCAATGTATTGACATCTATAATGGAAAATGCAGAGAAATTGTTGCAAAATGAGAAGAAAAGGATGATGACTATTATCATGAATAGCCTTGATGAATCCGAACCTGGAATTTTATCGGCTGTATGGGAATCTCTGCTCATAACTATAATTAAAATCGACGATTGGTACCTCATCGTGAATATCGATAAACTCGTATTGCCGAAATTGTGGCAGATTTTACGATCCGGCGGTCAATGCTGCGCCAGTACTGTTTATCCGAATTTGTTGCCTTTTATCAGTCAATTTTCGAAACTGAATGCCAATATCGACAATTTGTATATGAATTTCTTTGACAACATGCGTCAAGGATTTCTGGCGAAAAGTGTACAAATGAGTCGTTTGGAAGCGCGGGCTATATCTACCTCTTTTGTTGAATGTTTGCGTTATTCGATTCTCATGAATGTCAAGAATGTAGACTTATGCATTCGTCTTCTCAAGGAACAACTTATGCCCTTTATAGAAGCATGTACAATAGATAGAATTTCTGTAAAACAATTTTGTTTTATCGAAGTGGCACATTTAGTACGTTATTGGAGTAAAAATCGTACTAATGAGGAATATAAAGCATACATTTCTTTAATGCAGCAATTCTGGATCGAATTGAGATTGTTGTTTGTCAAGCTCATAAATACACCAAGAGATATTGCAATGTCACATACTGTAGATACAAAAGATTCTCAAATCGAATTCTTGTTAATTTTAAAGAATTTACCAGATCATCGTAAAAAATTAAAAGTAAACTTTTCCGATTCAAGTAGTACTATTGCAAATCAGTCAAGAGTACAAGTTGATACTTATACGGATACAGTTTTTAATGTAGAACTTTGCGAGTTTGTAAATGCGCTCTGTACAATTTACTTTAATAATATTAATAATCAGCAGTCTGTTGAATGTATCAAACAGCTGAATAAACTTATGAAACAATTTGCAAGTAGAGAATTATTCGAGGCACTTTCGAAATCATTTAAGTTCGATAAGGATTTCTTTAAATTTTATGATAACAATCTGAAACATTGGTTATTGCAAAATTCGGTAATAATGGAAGAAATTATTGAATTAATATTCTATTTTATTACATATATAGATGATATGGAAAAGAATAACATTTTTGAATCATTAATAGAGTTAAATGACATTGCAATTTTGAAGAATGTAATATATTGTAGTTTATCGAAAAATAGTAGAAACGATCATGTAATCAAGAAATGGTACATGAAAACTAGCGTAACCAAGTTACTGATTGATGTAGCTAAAGAAATTGCTTCATCCGAATATGATAATTTGGAAAAAAATCAGAAACTGATTTTGTTAGCTTTTGAAACTTCGTCAACTGGAGATTTATTAATAAATGAAGAAGGAGCAAACGAGATTGTCTCAATTCTTTGTGATTCATTAAATGGAACGGACGACACGTATTCTACACAATTACATTTGATTACATTTATTACAAGGCTAATGGCTTTAATATGGAATCAAAAGCAAATAATATCGAGTGCTGTACAGATATTGGAAACATTTTTTGAATTATGCACTCGAGAGTATGATGACGTGACTACTGATATTGTGCGCAATAGTTGGAAAGAAGGGCTTATAAGAAGTAAAAAGATATTATCCGATTCGGAATTCAACGATTTTATTGATAGATGTGCAATTATTATTTGGAGCAAAATATACAATACATGTCACGTGAAGCATATATTAGTAGATTTGGCAACTGATGTTTTAGAAATTATAATTAATAATGAGAACACAAACTCTCATTGTATTAATGAAACTATTCTATTATTTCTAATAACATCTGATATAAAATTATGGATTGCAGAAGTAACTACAATTGTGATATATGGTGAAGTAGTAACGGGCAATTTATATATATCAAATGTTGAGAAGAAGATACAAATTTTTGAGCATTATATGGCTATTGATATAACGAACGATATAATTTCGGATAATATGACAAATTGTTTATTGTGGACTTTATTTACCACAGATTTGCTTAATAATTTATATAAAAGATTACAAAGTATTAATATTACAAATGTTGACAGATTTTCAGATTCGAAAGAAAATTTTGAATTATACAATATAAATTTACCAGGAATTACAGAGATACTTATAAATATCATATATGTGGCTAGTATAGCGGAAATATACACTAAACATTATAAAGCCTCTAAACGTTATAATGATATTAATAAACTTCATGATTTTGATAGACAGTTTTGTCAATTTAAAAAAATTTTTGGGAAAAATATCCATAGCGATGTACCATCTTATATAAAAAAAAAGCAATTGAGTTATGGATATATGCTGCCATATATAATACGTGCACATTATGTTAAATTTGAAATGACTGATAATCCTGTAAAGTACTATGAAAATTGCAAAAATAATGAAGAAGAGTATGATGAAGAAGCACATGTGCAAGCAATTCAAGTCTTAAGGGATTATTGGATGCTAGAGAATATTCCATCATTAAATAGCAACAATATTCATACACTAATTGTCACAAGAATTAAGACATGTCTTGAAAATGATAATTTAGACTATACTGCTATTATAGACAAGCTTATGTTATATGATAAAAAAGATATCGCACTTCTGGGCCACGGTATTTCTGATATTTCATGGAATCAATTGTGTTTGCTGCTAGAAGTTATAAGATTGCTTACAGCACTTGTTCAAAAAGTTCCATTGAAGTTAAAATATGAACATTGGGATTTTATTTTGATATCGCTCACTACATGGCAACAGTTATTACTTACTAATTTTCAACATAATTATACTGATATTAAATTAATGACATTAATGATAGCAGTGTGCCAATTATACTACACAGTTCAAACTTTAATGAACAAACATGAACAAGAGCCAATACTGGAATTACCGCCTGCACTTTTTGATGAATGGATAAATGTATTTGCTAGTTCTATACATAATAATATCATCAAAATTTGGATGTTTTGTGTGGATTTATACAATCAAGAGACAGTTGCTTTAAAATCTATCATACCATTGGATTATTTAGGAAAATCAATTAGTATTCTTGACAAAAATATATTATTCAAAAAGTATGACAAACATACCGAGACAATTAATTTCAACGAGCTGTTAAAATTGTCTCTGAAATTATTACAATCTCCTATACCTAATATTCAATTGGGTGCTTATCACGCATTAAAACATATGGTATCGGAACTTGTACAGTGTGACAAAGTTCTTCTCGAATCTGACAACTTCGAGCCAAACAATTTTAATATTATGAAATTTAAAGCACTCCTATTAAGTACACAGAATATTGTGAATACAATGCTTATGGAATTTAAGTAAGCTTCTTTAATAAGTTTCTTTATAATATTATTTTTAATCCAATATAATTTTTAATCAAATGTTTCTTATATTATTATTTTTTAGATTATGTGATATAACAAGCTGCACAATCCAACCGTTTACAGATTCTTATACATACACATTAGGATATTTGCTAGTGTGGACAATTGTGCTAGATATCTGTGCGGATGCTCATAATGATTTACGTTATCAATATGCTGAAATATTGAAGTAAGTATAGTTCATGATGCACACTATTTATTTTCATATAGCTGATATTTTAATTTTATTACTAATAAATTACATAATGTTTGTACATATTTTAATCAAATGTCATAAATTTCAGAGATGATTTTTTTCCTTGTCTATTAAATAATATATTCAAATTAATGCCCGTGGAAATACTACAGGATAGTAAAAATAAAACTGTAAAACTGCTGGAAACATTTACTATTAGTCCATCGTTTAATTTTGGAGGTAATATTGATTACAAATTTACATATGTATATACAATAATAATAAGCAAAAAGAAAAATCTTATTCATAAAACTAATTTGCTTCATATATATATATATATATATATATATATATATATATATATAATAGCATTCATATATATATATATATATATATATGAAGCAAATGAGTTTTATGAATAAGATTTTTTTTTTGCTCAATTTTTGTTTTTTTACTACACCCTAATATACATATCGGTTTATTAATTTCATTATTGTAATAGAAAGTTGGACAGAATGGAGATTAGATCATATTGTATGTTGGTTATATACAAACTGTTTACGATATTTACCAGTGTTAGTCCGACAATGGCTGAGTACAGCTGATAGCAAAGTCAGTGCAATAATAGACAAGATTACAAGTCATTATATCAGCCCTATACTTTGTCAAGAAGAACTTCTTAATAACAAATTAGTTAATGTTGAAAATATGCAGGTATTCATTAAGATTTACTTATAGAATTACATTTTTATGTATTTTATATAAATTTGATAATTTCATGTCATAAAAATTTTTACAGATAAAAGTGCATGCAACAGCAAGGGAAGTAGTAGCCTTGTATCAAATGGATGATACAAAACTGGAATTAAGTATAGTGTTACCATCAAATCATCCTTTAGGTACAGTAAAGGTAGAACCTGGACAACATGTTGGTGGTACAGCAAACTGGAGAAACTGTCATATGCAACTCTCTATATTTCTCACACATCAAGTGAGTATTTATAATAAATTTATTATTGAGGAACATAATAGTGTACTTGATGCTATGTATATAAATGTATATAATATATATATATATATATATATATATATATATATATATACAATGCAATATATATAATAACATATATAACGTATATACAATGCCATATATATCTTTTATATAAAGTTATAAAGGCGTAAAAATATACACTACTAAAAAGAAAATAGGGAACACTTCATAAAAATTAGATTATTTTCAAACCACTGAAACTTGGTGAGAACTCATCGTAGATTAAAAATTAAAAAAGCATTTTTAAGCTTAAAATTTCAATGACGTCCTATCGATAGCTACAAAAATTTTTCTTTCCTGTTCTGCATTAATAAGCCATACATTTTATTCTTTAAAATTATGTATTTTTTGACACTGCACTTCAATAAAAAAAAAATCTCTAAAACTTCAACTGAAGTTTCGAACTACTTTTTGTCCACAAAATTTTTTTAAATTTTCCTATGATTTTTTTGACTAATTATAAGTTACACAATTTTGAAGCTAAAACTGTATTTTTTAAAACAAAGAAAATAAATTTTTTTTAAATTACTGATAGCGCGACTTAAAGTTGTTTAAGTTAAAAATAATTTTTTAATTTTTTGATTCCGATGCTTTTTTGCTAAGTATCGACATCATTTTTTAAGAAATACAGGTTTAGTTTCAAAATGTGAACTTGGTCAAAAATTCACTGAAACATTTTTTAAAAATATTATTTTGAAAGTTATGGAACTCAAGTTGAATTTTTCGAAAAATTTTTTATCGAGTTACAGAATGTCAAAAATATGTAATTTTAAGATACAATGTGTTCTTTTTTGAAAAAAAAAGAACAGGGAAGAAAAACATTTTTATTAAAACTACCGATTCTACGTTAAAATTGAAAAGTTTCAAAATGTTTTTTTACTTTTTTGTCTACAATATTTTTTCCAAATTTCAATGATTTTAAACTAATTTTTTTTTAGGTATAAAAAGAGTGTTTCCTATTTTTTTAAATAATGTTGTAGTTGTGATAAATATATGACGAATCTGAATAATTTTATTTTCTTTTATTATAATTATTATTTTCAGATATTCTAATATAAGTTTTCAAAATTTTTCTTTAATTTAATTCATGCAACATTTTACAAGGGGCATGTTCACAACTATCCGGAACTGATTTTATTCTCCTTCAAATATATTGTTAAACACAAAAATTTAAAAGATATTTAAAGGATATTTTTTTATATGTGCGAATTTGAGATAGGTTAAGGAGTGAAGCACCCTTTGAAAAAAAACAATATATTTCTTTTAGGATCGAATCCCCTTTCTAAAAAGGCATGTTATTGACATTGTCGTCGCTTTTCCGCGATGCTGATTGGTTGTCTCGATTTGCCGTTGTTAGATTCAGAGCCATAGCATCGAGCAGCTGTTGAGAAGGTTAATAGTTTGACAGTTATATTTATATAAATAAGGATGATCTTTAAATATTTAGAAAATAAAGGCTCGCATAAATTTAAAATTAATAAAAGGAAATTAATAGGCCAACAAACGAGCAGAAATTAGGTGTAAATACAAAAATCTTTTCTTTATTATTAATATCCTTCGCATGTATGATTAGTGTGTAAACGTTTCGACCTCACTAAGGTCTTTTTCAATACAAAGTTTAAAAAATTAATAAAAACCTAACATTAAAACATGATATAAAATTATGATATAAAAACATATGGTATGGTATTGAAAATATTTAAATAAAGAAAGCTATGTCAATTCGAAACTCAAATATCGCCAATACAGTAAATGTTCTAACACAATTTTGTACAAGTCGTTCAAAAAAAAAAACCTTTAGCATAATTCCTCGTTGATAGGCGAAGGAATTAAATCTTCTAAGTATTTCCATCTGGAAAAAAATGTTCATCTTCACAAAATATTCCTCTCGATACACAATTCTTTTATTTCAAGTGTTTCTTCCTGTCTTCTAAATCTAAACTGAAGTTACAGCTGGATCTTAAGAGAGGCTCATCCTATTATATATATACACGCACATATATACTTGTTTAATTTAAAAAGGAAGAGATTACTATGAATGCAAAAGCAAAATCAAATTTTATTCTTATATAAAATATATTAAAAATTATATATATATTTTTTTAATTTTTTATTTGATTTCGGAGATAGAAGCTCTTGTTAATTTTCTTGTGATTTGAGATGTTGCAAATTTCTATTATGTATATATTATCTTAATTTTCCGAATTTCTATTATGTATAATTTTAATTTATTGAATTTCTGTGATGTATATAATTTTATTTCACCGAATATCTATTATATACATAATTTTAATTCATCGAATTTCTATTACGTACATAATACTAATTCCCGAATTTTTATTACATGTACATAATTTTAAATCATCGAATTTCTATTATGTACATGATTTTAATTCATCGAGTATTTATTATGTACATAATATTAATTTTCGAATTTATATTATGTATATAATTTTAATTTTCCGAATTTCTACTACGTACATAATTTTAATTCCTGTATTTTTGTTATATACATAATAAAAATTTGGCGAATTGAAATTATATACATAATAGAAATTCGATAAATTCATATTATATACATAATATAAAGAAAATTTGGTAAATATTATGTTCGTAATCCCAGATGACACCATGTCCAAAATTGGTGCATAAGACATTATTACGAAATCTTGAAAACATCTTTAAGAAATATTGTGATGATATCTCAAAGACATCTTAAAAGCATTTTAAAGTCTTGTACACTAATTTTGGACATAATGCTATCTGGAATATGAATTCAGTGATTAAATTTATGTACATAATAATAATGTTTATAACAAAAATTCGACGAATTAAAATTATATATACATAAAAAATAAAACACAATCTCTTCTCAACCGTACTGGCAAATAATTTATTGATAATAAGTTAGTTTAAATCTGTTCAATGTATTAGACGTGTGTTCAACTTGACACTATGCTCTCTCTTCGACATCTTAGGAATATAATTATTGTTCGCAATTCACTTGAAAAGGACCAAAAACTATGGTCGAAACGTAGTGATTATTATCAATAAATTAAATATTTGCCAGTACGGTTGAGAAGATTGTGTTTTATTTTTATTTTTAATTCTTTTGGCGGTCTTGACATATTTGATTATTATACAAAGTGTCCGGTAACTAACGGACCAACGATTACAAATGGATTCTTTGGTCAATTTGGGAACGATTTTTCCTCAGCGAAAATGTCGAAAAAGGTCATCATTTTTACAACTTTCCAATATTTGTCATTATGTATCTTTATAACTAAGCCTTAAATTAAAATTTAATTATAGTAAACTCTACCTGAAATTTACTGAAGAATGTAATTATGTTAGATTTTTAACTCCAAAACGTTTAGTTTTTAAAAAACCTATTTTTCAATCGCTTATAACTCAAAAATTATTGACTTCTCAACATTTTTGCTAAGGAAAAATCGTCTCTAAATTGGCCAGAGAATCTGCCCTTAATCATTGGTCCGTTAGTTACCGGACACCCTGTACATATATACATAGTCGAATTTCGGGAATTAAAATTATGTATATAATAGAAATTCGGAAAATTAATATTATGTACCTAATGAAAATTCGGTGAATTAAAATTATGTATACTGTATACATATAACAGAAATTCGGCGAATTAAATTTATGTACATAATAGTTTGACGAATTAAAATGTTTGTAATATGAATTTGGCAAATTAAAATTATGTTTGTAATATTAATTCGGCGAATTAAAAGTATGTACATAATAAAAATTTGACGAATTAAAATTATATAATACATAATAGAAATTCTGGAATTAAAATTGTCCCTTTTTAAAAAGGGCATTCTCGCAAGTATTGTTGCCGCTTTTCTGCGGTGCTGATTGTTGATCTCGAGTCACTTTGTTGTTAAATTAAAAATATCAAGCAATTGTGATCGCGAAGATAACAATTTGATAATTATAAAATAAAAAGAAAAATAATACCAATGGTGCGCGCGAAGCGCGCGTTGTGTTGTCTAATATCATTGAATCTATAAGAGATAGAAAAAAATGTTATATGTAAGTTTAATCGTTTAAAGAGTACTTTAAAGTTATAAGAAATAATTCTTTACTTTTATTTTTGTTCAAAAAAATCCCACCACTTTTTTTCAAAATTTTATAATTTTTTGTCATTGTATTAAAAGTTTACTTTTTTCAAATTCAATCATGCACTAGAGGATCCGGATGGGAGGGAAGGGAGGGGGGTTAAAACTTCCTCCCCTTGCAAATTAAAAAAGTCGTCGTTGATCCTGGAATAATAGCTAAGCATGAAACAAAAATATTAATTAAATAATTTTACAGAACCTTCTCCATTATCGATATCAGGATCCGCTGTGCAACCATGTATTATACATACATACAGATAAAATTATAAAATTTAAAAATAAAAGGATAAATAATTTTTAAATACGACCAATACTGGCTAATAAATATTTAATAATCACCATATCGTTTCGACCATGGGTTTTGGTCCTTATCAAGTGTACAAAATAATTAAAACCGTGAACATGTTATGCACGTTGTGGTAATTATTAAATATTTATTAGCCAGTATTGGTTGTTTAAAAATTATTTATCCTTTTAATTATCGATTGGCAACATGAAGAATCCGATTATTTATTTTAAAAATAAAGTTAGGTGGTGAAGTTTTTTTGGAAAAAAATAAAAATAAAACTTTTTATAATTTTAAAGTACTCTTCAAGCGATTAAACTTTTGTTTTTTCTATCTTGTATAGTTTCAATGATATTTTATTCTGAAAGAAAACTTTCAAAGGGATGCATCTCTTGAACTTTAAAATCCACACAAAAAAATACGTGTCTTTTCGGTTTTTGTGTTTAACATACAATATATTTGAAAGGGAATCAAATCGATTCCGGACAGTTGTGACATATTCCTTTCAGATTTCTTCCTTTTGAATTTTTTTGCAAATTTCTTTTGCGTTAGAGTCAACGACTTTATATATATAAATGACAGAGCAAAGTCATCATCGCACTTTTGAAGAGCTCTGTTCATAATCACTTATCAAAATCATCCTGTTTAAATTAATATGCAATATTATATTATATCATACAATATAATATTAAGAAAAGAATAAATTCATTTGCATGTGAAGGATGTATTTGAATGTGAAGTTTATCTGTTGCCATTATGTAATTCTCCATTATGTAATTGAATGAAATTTTAAAATATGTTAATTCCAACAAATAAGATGTTATGTCTTTTAATTTGAAAGGCAATATCATATATGTATATAGCATTATACATAAAAAGCAAAACGACGACAGATATTTAGTATTTATAAGGGGATGCCAGAGTGACGACCGAACTCCGATAGGTTAGCACTACACATCTAAACATATGCACGTATACACATATACACATGATAGGTTAGCACCACACATATCTAACATATGCACGTATACAACACATGCGTGAAAAATTTCTGCACCGTTTTCTTATTTATTAGACTTCTAAACTTATATCTAAAAGTTTACTAATACTTTTTCATTCAATTTCTAGTCGAAACCTATCTTATTTTGTACGTACAAACAGCAGAACTTTTATATTAAACAATTATTTTTTCGACCTGACGACAGAAGTCGATAAAGAAATAGTTTTTAAATTTATTCTTATTTTTAACATAAAATCGGTAGGTTTCCACTTTGTTTCTGTACGTACTTTAATTGTGGAAAAGCATTTATTATTTTATTTAACTAATAAAAAGTTTTCGGTGCAGAAAGATCTATAATCATCCGATCGATAAAACAGACATCCGGCATTGCCTTAAATTGTTTTATCGTTGTTACAAAGAAAATTTCAACAATTTTTTGTACAAGTTTTTTAATAAATACAGTTCTCTAATAATCTAAATAATTTAAATAATTACAAAATAATTTAATATAATATTAATATAAAAAAAATAAAATAATATTAATATAATTAATCTGCACGGTGGCAAGTGATAGGCCAGCATTCGTAAACATGTAAGATAGCTTATTTTACGTCTCTTATCAGTAACGAAAGTATTATCATATTTTTTCGCGCGATGACATCACTCGCGATGAGTTCGCTGCATGACATAATCAGATGATGCTTCCATTACGAGACATTAGAGACATAAATAAATAAATCATCTTACACTGATACCGATTCCATCCACTCATTTGCTCAGATACTTTAATTAATGAAATATAGTTATTTAAAAAAGTATCCAGTTGCACATTGTAAATTATAAAGTTTTAACCACAAGATTATAATTTTCTTATACGAATTAATTTTATCTCATTATTTTATACAAAAAATTATTAAAGTAAGATGATCGAAAAATGAATATATTATGAGATGTGGGGTGTGTGTGTGTGTGTGGGGGGGGGGGGTTTCATATTTTATGACAAATATTGAATCAGGATGAAACCAAATATCTCGTATACTATTCATTTTTCGACTATTTCGACTACAAAAATTTTTTACATTAAATATTATGATTATATAATCTATTTATGTAAAAAAATCAGTGATTCTGTAAAAAATAATGATAATCTCGACATCTAAAAAATGCTTCCATCTGGAATAAAACCATACTTATAAAAAAATGACGAGAATTTCGAAATTCTACAACTTTTGTATAAAATATTTTTCGATGGAAATCTTTGAGAAATTTGAGTCTGAGAGTTAAAATGTGATATCCTATAATACATAACACATAATAATTAAGATATCGAGGTGTTTAAAAAATGTATAAAGCTTGAAGTCTTGTTTAAAAAAAATTTAATATTGATTACATGGAATGACTAGTTTTGCAATGGCAGATGACGAAATGAGAACCTGCAAAACTGATTAATAGAAGGTTCACTTTTCTCAATTGCACGAAGTAAATCAGTTAACGTAGCTCAACGGTATAAAAAATGCATGAAAGTTCAAACTTGCGGTTTAATAGAACTCGATATGATAATTTTTTGTTGAGTTATGTTAATTTTGATTAACATCTGTTTTTTTAACAATAAATTGTGAGATTTAAAATGTATATCTACCACTTTTATCAATTCTCGAGCCGCTGCAATTCTATTAAAGAATGTCGCATTGATATTTGAAATCACATCTGTGTGTGCGTGCGTGCGTGCGTCAACGTGCATCTCAATTATACAGAATGTATACTCCAATCCTTCTTCTAAAAGCACCAAGTTTTGAATCGTTTGGTTACATTTATGGGTCATTTATAATATTTTTCATAAATATATCAGTAAATTTAAAATCTTTGAACATTTTTTTATCCAAATCTTATCAAATTTTCAGACACCTTTATCTACTTAATTAAAAAAAATTCAAGTTAATATCTCTAATAATAGCGGAGAAAGCAATTTGTAACTTTTATATGAAACACTCTGTACAATTTTTGTATTAGTTGTACCAAATTTGTGTACCAGTTTATTTTATTAATAAAAAGTAATGGAAAAAGTGCTAATAATCACATAAAATCACATAAACTAATGATAAATATTTTCAACAGTGCCAGATTTAATAACAGCTATTTAAAAAATCGTTAATAATATTAAAAATGATATGTTAGAAAAATTTTGACGAGTTTTCGTAAAAATAGAATGAGGAAAACTGTAGAATTTTCTTTTTTTCATCATAAGTTTTCTCAATAACTTCATGCATTAAAAATGACAGCTGATTAGTTTCAGCAGTTTTTCTATGGGACATCATGTATATGAATGTGTGTGTGTGTATTCTAATTGTATTCACATATTTTTTTCCACACGTGCTATTTTCTTTTCAATAAAAATAAAATCTACAACAGAGAGGTAACATTGAAATATTTTTTTTTTATAGAATGGTTCGGTTTGGGATGGTCTTATAATGTGGAAACACAATTTGGATAAGAAATTTGCTGGTGTTGAAGAGTGTTACATATGCTTTAGTATTTTTCATATTAACACATATCAAATACCAAAACTATCATGCCACACTTGTCGTAAGAAATTTCATACTCTTTGTTTGGTAAGCATATATTATTAATTTAAGGAATATATAATATTATATGTATTATGTAATAGTAATATTATATACTTTTTATATTTCAGTATAAATGGTTCAATACAAGTCAAAAATCTACTTGCCCGATTTGCAGAAATGTGTTTTAATCAAATTTGATGAGGTATTAATATGTAAAAACAAAATTGACAGTACAAAACACAAATTAAAAATAATGTAAGGGAAAGAGTGTATGAAATAAATTATATATATATAAAATTACAATAAGTTTTAATTATAATTATACATTGAATATAAATTAATTTTTAATAAGAATTAAAAAGAAATGTCAATGATAATAATATAATGTGCGACAAGTATAAAGTAATATAATAAATAAACATTATTAATACTTTTATTGTACTCGGTTTTCAATGTTTCAACCCATGTGAAAGGACTTCGCCATTTCTTTGTGCAAATTGGGTTTCGGTAAAATTAACTAAAACTTTGCAGAAATGTTTATGTGATGCTGATCAAAAGTATCAGGCACGATTTAAAAAAATTAACTCTATGAGCCGGTTTTTTAATGACTGATGCAACAGTATTATCAGAGCTATTATGCAACTGAAAATACTTGAGTAAATGTTTATTTATGTGCGCGTGTGTGTGTGCATGCGTGCATACATTCTTGTCGCATGTGTGCGTGCGTGCGTGCGTGCGTGCGTGCGTGCGTGCGTGTGTGTGCGTGTGTGAATGCGTGTGCGTGCGACGTGTATAGATATTTAAAAATTTTTAAATACATACTTTATATATTTTTTAAAATAAATATATATACATTTATATATATAAAATAAACATCTATAAAAAATAATTTTTAAAAAATGTCATTTTTAATTTATTTTTCTTAATCGTTTTTTTTATCTTCTTTGTCGTCATTGTTTCCGCTTATTTTTATTCTCTTTTATTTCTTTGTATTTTTTTTTTCTTTATACAATCTTCCTTCTTGTCATCTTGCATCTTGTGCTTTTTCAATTTTTAACATTGCATTTATCAATATTTTGTGCTGGCCATCTTCTAACACTAAAATTTTTCATATAAAAAATCATATATACCATTCAAATAACTTATATAAAAATTAATTAAGTATTTTTATTACTACTTTTAAATTCTTCTAATTCTCTAAATCTATTGGTTGATCCTTCAATTTTATTCGATCTATCTCTCATTTTATTACTTCTTAATTCCTTTATTTTATTCGATTTGTCTCTCATCATTATGATTTCTTCTTTTATATAGCAAGGAACACAGAATAAAAAATGACTGTTCAAGCCAGAGTAACTTCAAAAGTTGAAAACTGAGATAAAAGAATAAGGTTGGTATACAAAGTGATCTGGCCTAAAAACTGGTTTTTAGAAGAGGGAAGATCATTAAATTCATCTAAAAGCAATCGGCATAGTAGAAATCGTCAATGATAATAATGACAAAGAAATTAAAAAGATGATAAAGAAAAAAAGGAAAAAAGAGAAAAAAAAGCCCAATATAAATGAAATATGTCAGTCAAATGGATAAACTATGTTTTTGTAAGGAAGAGGTAATAGAATAAATAATTTTAGGAGAAGGATTAATTAAAAGTTTAAAAATATCGAAAGGAGGAAAACAATTTAATCGATTTAAAGAATTGATCAAGAGAAGCGGTAGCGTCTCGCTAAGTTATATCTTTCATTCGTGTTCAAATTCAAATACAATTGATAAATATTTTTGCTACAGAAACTCAAAAATATGGTGAAATTGAATAAAACGATTTTACTTGCTAGTTGGGTCGATTATTTCCATAATTCAAAAATATTGAAAGATATCGAAAAAATAGCGAAAAAATATTGAAAGATATCAAAACAATAGCGAAAATATCCATAAAATGCTATTGTGTATCTTTAATCGAAGGTAACACGATTTTAGTAACCTTGGACACAATGATTTGAAATATTTTATGAACCGGGACATATTTTTCAAAAGATGATCGTGTAACGTACCGCTTTTTCGGTGCGGCCGGATCGCTTAGTTTGGATCACAAGGTTCGGGAAAAGGTTAACCCAAAGAAACATGAGACTCGATTACGTGTAACGAAAAAAATAAAGTGTTTATTGTGTGTGTCTATTTACAAGTGTACAAGTGTATGCGTGGTGGTATGTTTGTGGTGGTATGGTTGAATGTATATGTTAAATGTGTAGACGCAATGACGATGTGCATATGTAAGTGAACGCTGATGTATCCGTATAAAGGTGAGCGAGTGTGTATGCGAGCACAGGTATGAATGTATAAACGTATGCAACGTGTGTATTGGTGCGGGTATGAACATATAAAATTAATTAATGAAAGGCTCGTATAAATTAACAAAATTAAACAAATCAAATATAGTAGGCCAACTGAACGAGCAAATAAATAAGATGTAAAAATTTTTTTATAATAGTTAAATAATTAAATTAACATTCCGTTACAGAAACGATATAAATTGTAGACGTTTCGACTGCACTACAGTCTTTATCAATACATAAAAGTTAAATATTAAATACAAAGTTAAATGTTAAAAATACAAAGTTAGTTAAATATTAAAATATAAAATTAAAACGATTCTTCGCTGTTGACCAATAGATGTGCAAGGCGATTGGTCTGAGATGCCAATTTATGCGACATTTAAACATGCTGCGGATATAATACGCGAATTAAATCAATGTCAGAGAAAATTAAAAATCTTTCAACTTACATTATCGTTTTAACAAGTCCTTTTTCCCGATTTTTCAGTGTGTGTTGCGAAGTCTGAATAACAAATGTCAAAATAGAGAGCGTGATGTATTTATTTATTACCAATGTTTTTCTAAATTATGATTCAGCAATTTTTTAAGTATGTCAAAATAACTACTGTCTAACAATTCGGTGTCTTTATTTAAATTAATTCCATTTTTCTGTTCTTTAATGTGGATCATTTCAGATATTAGCCTTTTATGGTAATTCTTTTCATGATCCATAATTTTAATATTGTCCAGTCAAATGTATGTTGTTCGTTTAGAATGTGTTCCGTGACAACCGAATGTCTAGCAGAGTCTAATTTAATATTATTTTTATGTTCTTTAAGTCTCGTTTCTAACTGTCTTTTGTCTGTCCGACATATGTGGCGTCACAATCGTTGCAATTCAATTTATAAATAACATTAGAATTCGTGGGGCGATTATTTTTGTCCTTTTGAACTTTATGAAGTCATTCAATTTTTTAATGCAACGTATCCTACCACTACGTCAGGTCTTCTTATTGCTGAAGCAACTTTCTCAGATATTGATTCTATATATGGTATGACAAAATATTTAATGTTAGTATTAGTATTATTAGTATCTGTTATATTGTTATTATTAGGCTTGTTAAATTTCTTAGTTGAGAGATTTTTTAATCTGCGTTTTATTTCTGTGAAATTAGATCAAGAGGATAACCGTTGGATAGCAAAATGTTAATAGCTTTCTCTATATTTTTTTTGTGAAATTGCGGATGTGATAGTAATAAAGCTCTATCTACCAAGTTATAAATTGTTCCTATTTTATGACAAGTCGGATGATTTGAAAAAAATGAAAGTAATCTACCTGAGAATGTCTTTTTGTGATACCAATCTAAATAAATTTTCTTATCTATTACTTTGATCATTATGTCTAAAAAGCTTATACACCGATTATCCTCTTTTTTCAATGTAAATTGTAGTCTATCGTTATAATTGTTGAATTCGTTCAAAACATATGTAATATTGTCAGCGGAGTGCATAAAATAATGTCGTCTACATAACGGAAATAAAAAGTCATTTCGCAATTTAAATTACTAATTACCAATGTTTCCAAGTCCTGCATGACTATATCGGCAATGATCGGAGAAAGTGGGGAACCCATAGGAGTCCCATAAATTTGTTTGTAAGTTATGTTATTGAAAGTGAAAAATGTAGAAGTTAATATAAATTTTATCATACTATGAATTCATTTTTGGGAATCTTTGTGTGTGACTCTATAAAATGCCATCTATTATTGATACCGTTTAATGCAAGATCTACGGAAACATTAGTAAATAATGAAACAACGTCCATGAAACTATTATGTCGGAATCCTGTAGTGTTTTCCCTGATAGAATGTTGCATATATCGAAACTGTTATTCACAAACTGTCAGCTCTAGGAAAGCTATCTTTTAAAATTTATGAAAGAAGGAAGCAATATTATATAGAGATGTATTTATTGAGGAAACTATTAATCTAAAAGGAATATTTTCCTTGTGGATCTTGGGAGCCCATAGGCTTTAGGAAGAAGGGAGTCGCTTGAAAATAAATAATAATATTCCTTTTTGTTGATGAAATCTTTTTCAACCATTTTTTTTAAACAAATATTGAGGTCTTTTTCTATTTTTGTTGATGGATTGTTTTTAACTATGTATACGTAAATCGTCTTCTAGGAGACTCTCACTTTTTTTTATAAAAAATTCTTTTCTAATGCGACTGTAATTCTAATGAACGTATAAATGTATGCGACTGTGTGTATCGGAATATGATGAACGTATCAA